AATGGGGTAAAAAAATTCGCGAACCGCGGACCGCGGGGGTCAGCCCGCGGTCCGCGTCTTTTAGGAAATAAAAAACGCTGTTTTAAATAATCTACCAAAAAGTGCGAACCAAACGGTATGGCGGCGTTTTCAAAACGCCGCCCGCACTTATAAGCTGCCCCAAACGGGCCCTTAGTCTACCAGTTTGTGCAAAATGTAAAATTTATAGCTATTTTTTATTTATGGGTTTTGTAACATTTGTTTTTTCGTGAACTTTCATTCATGTCATTTTTCATTTTCACATCAATAAAGACATTTTGGGTGTGGTGCTTGGAGCACCAGGACTTAAAAAAAGCCACTTTGAAATACTTGCGATTATTAACAAAATTGTATCAGATTTGAATAAAATCAATTATTTAATCAATTTTGGCAAAAAAATTTATAGCAAGTTAAAATTTAGAAATTAATTCATCAGGAAAAGTAGAAGGATAGGCCTCAAGCTTATATAAGAAAATGATCATCCCTTGAATCTTTAAAATGTTCAAGGAGTTGGCTTCTGGATGTAGTAAGAATAACATCCAATTAGAATTTTAATAAAAAAAAAAATATTTAGTTTTGTACATGCGTCAATCTACTATTTATAAATACAAACTCTCATGGATTTTATCTTCTATTGACCAAGATAGCCAAAAGAGTCACATCTGCTTCCGTCAAATAAGGAAATTCCTATAGCGTTGGAAAATCATTAAAGCCCATTCACAAGTAGCAAAATAAGAGAAATCCAAGCCCCAAGTTGCCCACTCCAAAGTATTATAACTGAGGAAGCCTTCATCACAAATAACGGCAACCGAAGATGATCAAATCTATTCATTGCATAAACTTTAAAAGTCCATCATCTATCTTGTTGGAATAATGAAATCTTAGAGGAAGGAAAAACGAAAGCTAAAGAATTATAAGACTTGATAGGTGAGGTAAAACCAAATATCACCGAGGAAGAATCTATTGAAATGGCGCCTTTTGATCTCTAAGAATCATTGAAGAGAACTTGTTGGAGCTATTATTCAAGCTTCCTGTGGAGGAAGCTCTACTTCACATCTCCTTTGCGTTGCTCTGATCGAAACAAAGCTTCATCAATGATGTATTACACATTTAATTCTAACAATCTTGCATCTTTTGGTAATTGTATTTGTATAACATGCAATTGTCTCTTGGACCAAGCAAGAGTATTTATGCGAAAAATGATCTTCCTATTTCAAACTTTTTCCTCGAAGGCTTTAATTTTCTTTTAATTTCATATGATGTCATTCTACAATTCCAATATCAACATTGTTGTCATATCATCATCATCATCATCATTATGGAACCACTTGTAATCTAATTTGTCAAATCGAACTTTACTAGTCCTTTTTTATGCCTACTATTATGTTACAGGTTTTATTCATCTTTACAGATACTCAATCCTCTCACTAATGTTCAACTTTGAAAATATGTACAGGCATTCAAAAATGGCCCGGAAAGCAGATACATAGTCATAATTATCGCATTCCTGAGCCATTTCTAGATCAGGTATGTAATTATCTTGTTAAAAAAACTTCCCATTATAAATGTTGAAGGATGAATTCTTCCCATTATATATATATGTGTGTGTGTGTGTGTGTGAATATCAGGCTAAGACCACACAGGCTAAGACCACCACATCAAGTAAAAGTATGGATGATCTAAGAATGTAATTTCATTTTCATCTTCAGCGACAAAGATACATTCTTACGGAGAATTCTTGGGTTGTTCCCATCCAACAGTTGGCTGGGTTACACCCAATATGGTTTAATGTCTAGATTTTAAAGAACTTAAGTTGAATGCCTTACCGGGTGCTTGGGTTAGGTGTGACACAGACATTTTAGTGGATTTAATGAGTTTTTTGCGGATCAACCATAAATTTTTTTTTTGTTTAATATAATAAAAATACTTCAGTGGCCATAATCCAGTAGAATCTTGCCTAAGGTATCTCATCAATCACACAGAATGTTGCACTGGTTACTTGACGAGTTTGCATATGATTATATCCCACTTCACCAGTGAGATCTCAACATTTGGTAGGGCAGCACAATTTCAGTAACAACGCATATATATCAATTAAATTTTATTATTAATTTTCATATATCCGTTATATCTAAATTTTCTTTATTTATAAAAAAAAATGAAAACGAGAGAATTTGTTTACCAAATTTTTTTATAACTTCCCCCACAAGGGACAAATTATGAGATAGTTTTATAAATTTTCATTTATTATAAAGTTTCCTCTCAAGTCATCATTTAGAGGGATAATTGTAAGGTGCTAGATAGAGGCAAAGAAATTTTTATAAGAGCGGGATACTACATTGGGAAGAGTGGATTATTTGACTGAGAACATAAGAAACTTAGCAAATAACTATATTGGGATTGCAAAAGTAAATATATTTGATTAATGCAAATTTTGATGCAATTCTCAAATATCTAGAACTCTGATACGATTTAGAACCAAAAATTGCGAATAAATTACTGTAGAGAGATAGAGAAACTCAAATGAGGGCTGATTTTACTAATATTTATAAAGCTCTTCTAACAACTCATCAATCACTGAAATAACAAATTTGTTTGAGACAGTCTCCTTGTTCAAAACCCAGTAATTCACACAAATTCATCATCTAAAATCTTTCTTCTTCGCCAATAAGATTGGATGAGAAAATGGACTCACACAAGGTCTGATAATTTCGTCGTCCGAAGATACCAATATGGTCTAACATAGATAGGGGGGATTCCCTCATATAATGTATTGACATGCTCTCTCTAGGGCAATAACTTGCTCGGTTGCTGAAAGATTTCAACAAACAACTGTAAGAGCTGCTTAATCTCCTAGGAAAACTGTGTCAACTTGGATCTCAGAACTTCTTAATGCTCCACAAATCCACCAAATAGTCTGATCCCGCTCCTCATTGACGACCACGGTTTTGAGCGAGACTATGATTTTGCATAAGCTAGCATCTCCTCTCAGCATCACCTTCCCACCCTTTACTTGAAACTCCATTGGGATTTTCAGTCCACCTTCATCTCCCTAAGTGTCCACAACCACTTCATCCCCAAAATCACATTAGTGCTTCTCAAGTCCAAAGGAAGTTCTCTACCACCTGTAAGCTATGCAATGTTAGAACCAATCCCTGGCAAATTCCCTGACTTGTTTTGCGCTTCATCTATCCTTATTAGGACAAAAAAGCTTCCTGTATCTACCAGCTCTAACCCTTGTTGATACATGACCTGATTTTAGATGAAACTATGGGTGGCTCCACTATCCACAAACACTACAGTTGGTTGCTCCTCGATCCGCCCCTTCACCTTCTTGGTGTGATTCAGAGTAAACCCCACTACTTAATTAAGTGACACCTCCACAACATTGAAATGCAAACGCTCCTCTTCCTCCATCATGTCTTTCTTCGACTTCTCATTATCTGTCTCCTCCTTCGCATGAACTACAAGGTGCTCTCCTGGGGCATCTCTCATCACATCAGAAACATAATCGTTTCTTTTATTCTTCACCGCTGCATTGATGAGGCGTTTGAAATTTCCCCCGGAATGGGTCCCCACTTTCATCTTTTTTGACGTCTTATTCTGAAACGACATCATTTGGATCCTCAATGTCATGGCCGTTGAAGCACTTTTGTTGAACCCCCCCTTCTGCGATGCTGCCTTTATAGTATTTTTCATTTGTTTCTTGTTATCCATCATCTGAGCGAGCTCCATCATTCCCTTAGTCCCCGTGGTCTCAATGGTTGCTCCATCATTTCCTTGCTCTCTCTTCTTCTCTTTCTATGCTGAGATATACCGAAGATGATAAACTTACAAGAGAAATAAACCCAAATTTTTTCTGCCACAAGCCACCAAGAATAAGTCAAGGGAGAACAATCTTCTTTTTCTTTCTTCTTCCTTCTGCCGCAAGGAACTACTGCTTGCACCCGCAAGGAGGAACTACTGCTTGCACTTCTCTTCCTATATCTCGAGGAAGCCCAAAGAAGAACACCAAAAATGTCACGTAGTAAACTGAAGGAGAGCTGCTGCGATGTCTTTTATCACGAGAGAGCCCATCGGTTTGCGATTGAAGAGGCGGGAGGCGAATCAAAGCCTTCGCGAAACAGGAACAGGTGGAGGCGGCGTTTCGCGAACAAGAGGCTGGAGTGGGATGAGGTCGCGACGTTTTGCGATCATGAGCGGAAGCGGGAGTTGGGGTTGCGACGGGAGCGGGAGCGGGAAGACGGACCGAGCTCCAAACTCAACAAATCTCCCACTTAGAGACCGATATACAAACAACAACATCTCTTTTCTCAAACTGATATCCTCCACTGGCGACTTCGCCTTTTTCTTCAAACATGAATTCTCCACCTCTGCAACTCAAAGCCCTTGTCTTCACACCAGAAAACCAACTGAAGCTGCACACAACTTCAGTTTCTATAGAGTAACATTCTCAGCCAACATATCGGCAGGATCAACATAGTTTTGCACTTTCAAGCTATTTTCTGGATTACTCTTGTCTCTGCTTACAACTCCCATTGCATGGGCAATATCCTGCCGCTGCTGAAAGTCTTTTTCAACTAGTCTAGCCTTTCACCTCTTACTGTCATCATGTTTAGTCTTCACCCGATATACTCACTTATTGTGTAATGTTTTCTTCCTTGGTGGAAGTTCTGTCAGCTCCCACTTTCTTGAATTTTTATCTTGCAAGATTTTCTCATAGCTTTGTGGTTTTTCACCATCTGTCTGTAGAATAATAGAAATGGGTGCCCCCACTCTCCTCTTCACTTCCATCACTGTGACCTCTGGTAGATCAATTCCTATCACATTCAAAACTTCTCCATCTGCAAATATACTTTCCCAAAATCACTGAAACATAATTTTGCATCAATTCCTGATGGAATGTTGTATGGAAAGAAACCTCTTAATCCAATATCCAATTATCAACAAAACTATGAACTGCCAACAGTAGTGCATCATATATTTCTTCAGATACCATATTTGCGCTATCATTCTCTATCTTCTTGGGATTTCCGTAGTTCCTATTTATGTGGTCAACTTTGCCACAATTCTAGCAGGTTGTCTGGTGATCAGACTTTGATTTTAATCTCCCTCTATTTGAGTTTTTGTCCTGTGATCTCCATATGAAATCAACATTCAGTGCTGAACTCGTACCTGAGATCTCGTCAGAATTTTTCCCGCGTACCTACTTAGCCAAAATTAAGTTACAAATACCATCATATTTTAGTTTAGATTTACCTGCAGAACTGTTAACTGTCATCCTTATTGCTTTCCAATTATTTGAAGCGCACGTATCTCATCATCAAAGTTAATTTCAACATACGACAATTGATTTGTGATAGTATTGAAATCATTCAGGTGTTGAACAATATAAACATCTTACGTCATCTTCAAATTGAATAATTTTTTCATCTGATATACCTTGTTATTTGCCGATGACTTTTTATACATACCTGATAAGACTGTCATGAGATTTGCAGTCGTCCTCTCATTGACGATGTTGTTTGCAACTGACATCGATAAGTTCAATCGAATAACCCTCAGAATCTGTCGATCCAACAAATTACATTCAGCCTCATCCATCTTTTCAGGTATTTTCCCCAATAACGGAAGATGAAGTTTCTTCCTATAAAAGTAGTCATCTATCTGCATTCTCTAGTAATCAAAATCTGTGTCATCAAACTTCTCGATCCCTGAAACCTTCATTTAATCTACAACCTTCATTTTATCTGCAACCATCGTGCTTTCTTCAGAAACGAAACCACGGGCTCTGATACCAATTGTTGTGACATATCTGACGTTTCGCGATCGGGAGAGGAAGCGGGAGTTGGGGTCGCGACGGGAGCGGGAAGACAGACCAGGCTCCAAACTCAACAAATCTCCAACTTAGAGATCGATAAACAGACAACAACATCTCCTTCCTCAAACTCGTATCCTCCACTGGCGACGTCGTCTTTTTCTTCAAACATGAATCCTCCACCTCTGCAACTCAAAGCCTATGTCTTCACACCAGAAGATCAACTGAAGCTACGCACAACTTCAGTTTCTCAAGAGTAACACCCTCAGTCAACATATCGATAGTCAATATAGCTTTGCACCTCCAAACTATTTTCTGGATTACTCTTATCTCTGTTTACAACTCCCACTTTATGGGCAGTATTATGCCGCTGCTGAAAGCCTTTTTCAACTGGTCTAGCCTTGTACCTCTTACTGCCTTCATGCTCAGTCTTTACCCGGTACACCCACTTGTTGTTTACTGTCTTATCCCTTGATGTAAGTTCTGCCAGCTCTCACTTGCTTAAATTTTCATTTTGCAAGATTTCCTCATAGCTGTGGTTTTCCACCATCTGTCTGTGGAACAATAAGAATAGGTGCCCCGGACCACTCTCCTTTTCACTTCCATCACTACCCTATAGTGTGGCCTCTGGTAGATCAATTCCTACCACATCAAAACATCTCCATCTGCCAGATATACTTTCCCAAAGTCACCTGCAACATAATTTCGC